ATCATCCGCCACCACCGCTCAACTGCCGCCGCCGCACTCCAAAGAAGGAAGGTGCTCCCTGCTCCTAGGAGTGGGTACCCATTTATCTAATTGCCTAAGGGCTTTCGAACCGTTGGATGGGCGGGAGCTGGGACTAGGACCGGGAGCTCACCCCGGCCGCGGTGGAACTCAAACAACCTTATGGCTGTTCGGTGATAGATTACTGCAGGCTTTTTACAGCCTGCGCCATCGCTCCCTGTAATATACTTACTTAAAGTTTCCCTGTAATATACTTTCTACTTTTCTGTTAACCTACTTGGGCAAGGTCTGCAGGGCCAGGACAAGCAGCGGTCAAGCTCTGGACAGGCACCAATACCATGACTGCCCCGATCTTTTCCACCTTCATTTGGCTCTCCGGCACTTAGTCCGGAGTCCCCAACCTTTTTGAGCCTGTGACCACCTGAGGGATTCTGACACGGTGTGATGAGGGCAGCCACAAAATGGCCACGTGGGAGGTGGAGCCACGAAGGCAGCCCACGTGCGGGGGGACGACAACAAGAGAGAGGAGTCCGAGATGGAATCAAACCAGCGCTGTTGGGGGAGCTGTCTGCGCAGCCGATCAGATCTCCAGGGGAGAATCAGGAGCTCTACTGGGCAGGAGTCCAGCAGGTCCCACCCGCCCTCCAAACATTCTTCGTGGGCGCCAGGAGAGATCTTGGGAGGCACCACGTTGGGGACCCTTGACCTGTACCTGAGGAGAGGCTCCCTGGCTGGATCGAGCGCGGTCTGAATGAAGGTGCTTGGGGGAACCGGGGCCTCTGGCTTCCACATTACGGAGCGCACAGGATGCATCCAGGATCCCCACCTTGCGTTGTGTGTCACAGTCGCCCGCCAGTTCCTCAGCTTGGAGGCTTGCAGGGTCCCAATCAGGTCACCATTTCAGTGTGTGTGTGTGTGGGGGGAAGGGGCCTCAACTTCCCTCCCACGCCATTTTTCTGACTTTAAGTGGTCCTGGGGTGGGCTTTGCTTAAGCCCCAAGTTTTTACCCAGGGGGAAACCCCACCACCCCACCCCCGGGACTGTTTAAGTCAGGAGAACATGAGTGAGGCTCCAGATGCCCATCAGTCACAATCCAAATTGGGCAGAGTGAGCATCGGACCTGAGGAACTCACTCGTGACTATTTCACCGGGTGGGGAATTCGCGGCCAGAGGAGGTTGTGATGGCCACAGGAATAAACAGCTTGAAGAGGGGATTAGATAGATTCAGGAAGGAGAGGTCTATCAGTGGCTACCAGGCAGCTGGCAACCCAAGTTAATGTTAATATTTGCCAAAACAAATAAAAAGTGTCAAATGCTCTCTCTGTCAGTGCAATGGGAAATTCACAGAGTAACTTTGACTTTCTTCAGGAGCATTCTGGCAAAGGCGCAGATGAATCCGACATCTTAGCTGCCCCAAGAGAGAAACCCTCACAAAAGTCATTGAGAGAAACACTTTCCCAAAGGTTGCTGAGTGGTTTCACTCCCAAAGGGAGGGGTCTGCTTGCCAGATCTTGTAAAATTCTGTCAGAGGGGATTGGGGGAGTGAAGGAGGGGCCCTCTGACGCTCCCTCGTTGTTTCTCCAGACACTGGAAGCTGGAAGGGGAGAAGATCCGTGGCAGAGGAAGCGAGGCAAGGACGGGGGGCTGTGGCTCAGTGGCAGAGCATCTGCCCTACAAGTGGGGGGGGGCATGTTCAGTCCCCAGCATCTCCATCTCAAAGGACCCGGTAGCAGGTGAGGTGGAGGACTGCTGCTGCCAGCCACAAGATACAATCCTGCCTTGGGCAGGCCAGCCCTCTGGCGGAGCAGGAGGCATTCTCCTTTCATGTACTTGAGCCAAGGACCTTTCTGTGGACACGGGAATCCCACGTTGGGGCTTGTTGGCATCCCGGCAGATGGGAACTGACATGTCTGTCCCCCCCCCCGATACAATTAAGGCCCCGGTCACATGGGCCAGATAATGCAGGGGGGAGGCGTGGCTCTTTACGTCGGCACAATTAGACCTGCCAGAACGTGATCAGATGCGATGGCGGCACACCGCGGTTTCGTCCGTCAGCGCGTGTGCGTCAAGGAGGACAGCCGGGGGGGGGGAAGCCGTGCGTCGGTGCGATCATATGGAACGATTCCATCCGCAGCCCGTGGCAAACCGTTTGCTAGTACGTTTGTTGGGATACTTTCTAACTGTGCAGCTTCAGCGGCACATCGTGGGTTGACCACGGGTGCGCTACGCTTGCCAGATGTTGCAGTGTGATCGCGGCCTGAAAATCCACCCAGCATTCGTGGCTCTCCCATGGCAAATCTGGCATGTGCATGGGGGCTATTAGAAGCAGGAAGGAAGCTAATGATCTGGATATTGGGATATCTGGTTAATATAGGCCCTGGTTGTTGTAAAATAGTCAAAAATTGTTTAATACTTAGACTATTTGATGGATCTTGCTCTATTGGAAAGAAGAGAGTTCTTTGCTTTTAAAAATACTTTATTACTAAGGGAAAAGGGTTCACGGGATTGCTACAAATTAACATAACACTAAGAGCTACATTTCTATGCTGCCTACAGACAAAACAAACACACACGTAATGGAGAAATTCTCTCCTTTCTGACCCTT